TCAAAATTTTAATACAGAAACTTATGGTGAAGATAATGAATTCACGCTCATGACAAAATTTAATGTTGCAAGCTGTTTGAACAGTATGGGAAAAATTAACGAAGCTTTACAAATTTATTATTCTGTTGATAAAATACAAACTGAAATTTTAGGTATCAACCATCCGGATACAATGGCAACAAAACATAATATTGCAAGCTGTTTGGACAATATGGGAAAATATAACGAAGCTTTAGAGATTTATTATTCTGTTGATAAAATACAAACTGAAATTTTAGGTATCAACCATCCGGACACAATAACAACAAAATGTAATATCGCATTCTGTTTGGACAATATGGGAAAATATAACGAAGCTTTAGAGATTTATTATTCTGTTGTTAAAATACAAACTGAAACTTTAGGTATTAACCATCCGGATACAATGAATACAAAACATAAAATTGCGTTCTGTTTGAACAAAATGGGAAAATATAACGAAGCTTTAGAGATTTATTATTCTGTTGATAAAATACGACTGAAATTTTTGGTATCAATCATCCGGATACATTAAAAACAAAACAAAATATTGCATTCAGTTTGAACAAAATGGGAAAATGTAACGAAGCTTTAGAGATTAATTATTCTGTTGATAAAATACGAACTGAAATATTTGGTATCAACCATCCGGATACAATGAAAACAAAACAAAATATTGCATTCCGTTTGCAGAATATGGAAAAATTTAACGAAGCTTTAGAGATTTATTATTCTGTTGATAAGATACGAACCGAAATTTTAGGTATCAACCATCCGGATACAATGAAAACAAAACATAACATTGCGGTCTGTTTGAACAAAATGGGAAAATTTAACGAAGCTTTAGAGATTTATTATTCTGTTGATAAAATACAAACTGAAATTTTTGGTATCAACCATCCGGATACAATGAAAACAAAACAAAATATTGCATTCTGTTTGCAGAATATGGAAAAATTTAACGAAGCTTTTGAGATTAATTATTTTGTTGATAAAATACGAACCGAAATTTTAGGTATCAACCATCCGGATACAATGAAAACAAAACATAACATTGCGTTCTGTTTGAACAAAATGGGAAAATTTGACGAAGCTTTAGAGATTTATTATTCTGTTGATAAAATACAAACTGAAATTTTTGGTATCAACCATCCAGATACAATGAAAACAAAACAAAATATTGCATTCTGTTTGCAGAATATGGAAAAATTTAACGAAGCTTTAGAGATTTATTATACTGTTGAAAAAACACGAACTGAAATTTCAGGTATCAACCATCCGGATACAAAAAAAATAAAACAAAATATTGCATTCGTTTTGAACAAAATGAGAAAACAATTAAAAATATAACAAAGCTTTAGAAATTTATTATTCTGTTGATTTAATACGAACTGAAATTTTACGTCACAACCATCCGGATTCAATGAAAACAAAACAAAATATTGCATTCAGTTCGAATAAAAAATAACAAAGCTTTCGAGATTTTTTATTTTATTGATAAAATAAAAATTGAAATTTTAGTTATCAACGACCCGGATGTTATTTTTTCAAAAAATTAGATCTGCTGACTGTACCATAAAAAAGTCATTCTTAAACCTTGCGAGTTTTATCAGTTCTGAAATATTCAGATTAAATGTGTTCTTTAAACTTTTTTGAAAGTTGGAAATGTTAGTTTCCTAAAATTCATTGATATAAGAAAATAGAAAAAATTTTTTTTTTTTTTTTTTTTAAATAAATTATGACAACCAAAGTAACAAAACACTAGACTAGCAAAACTTTTACATTTTGCAAGTAGGTGGGGCAAAGCGGGACAGTTAAAAAGCATCAGTTATTCGTCAATTGTAAAGTTTTATAAATTATGAAAAATGAAGGCTAGCTATTGCTTAAATATGTTCAGCCATTAAACTCTCAAAAAAGTAACATATCCATAGAAACTACACGCCCATAGACCCATACACCACAAAAAATAAATAACCCATACACAACAAAAAAGAAATAAAATAAAATATTTTTTGTGTGTGTTTTATTATAAAATACCTATTAAATTGGTAACTGCTACTAAATTTGAAGTTAAACAAAAAATTTTATGGATTACATAAATCACACAAAGAATATCCTGAAACTGTTCGGCAACATTTTTGATGAGCTGGCTTATTAGCAATATTCCAATGTAGAGCAAACTTAAATACGCCATATGTATCAGCAGCTTTTCTAGTTCTAAGTTTCTTTATACTCACACTAAAACTGAATTTCATCCCGTTTTGAATGGTTGATCTTTCTTATATAATTTTTTACCTTCTCTGTTTACATTAAACTTTATTAATCATCAAGTTAAGTTATAAAAATAAGAAATTCTTTAAATTTATTGCTAAAATTGATTCTAAATAAAAAAAAAAAAAAACTTTAAATTAAAAATAAAATTATCAAACTGTAAACAGCATTGCAAAATGGTAGTATTATACTCAATTATATATATGCCCCGATATGCCCCACTATTAATACTATTTAAAAAGTTCAATTTCAAAATGTTTTTTAAAATCAGATTCTAAAAGAGAATAAAAAATACTGTCTGAAAAAATAAACTTTTTATAAATAAAGCAAATTCACAAGAGTTCAAGATAAATCTTTTGTCGCAGTATCGCTTAAGAAATTACGCAAATTTTGTTTTCGCAAACTTACTGATGCATTTTGGTACTTTTAATGCATTTTGGTATTTCTAAAATCAATTTTTTTTTACAATATCAAAGCAAAATAATTTAAAATGATTTATCAAAAAAAAAATTTTGAAAAAAAGTTATTTTCGGCTTAGATATAAGGCTTCAGGCATAACTGTCCCGTTATACCCCACTGTCCCAATATGCCCCAGTCTACCCTATACTGCAATTTGATATAGATGTGATCCAAGTCAGTAGAGAATTTTGTTCTTTAATAAAAACATTAGTTTTCCAAAGTTTATACCTTTTATTTAAGTGTGTTTATTTTAAATACATTACAGATATTGTTTTGGGCAGAAAAGTGTTAAGTGTGGATTGTAATCATTAGCCATAAAAATGGCTATCAAAGTAGTAAACTGTAAGCATCCGCATTGTCATGAAAATGGTGTTGTTAAGGTAAATTATACCTTCAACAAATCCAAATTCAGGTATACCATCATAAAAATTACAAGATATCAGTTGATCTTATATATTGAGTCTATTATTGCTACAATTAAGGCAGAAGAAAAGAATTATATAGTTTTAAAGAACTAAAGGAGAACAAAAATAAAAAATAAAAAGCACTTAAAGAAAACTGTATAAAAATAAAAAACAAAAAATAGAGATTAAATCAAAACATTAAATAAGGCAATCATGTTTTTTAAAGAAAGAAAAAAATGTTTTTCAAAAAAAAAAAAGAAAAAAAAGAAATTCATGTAAAAATATATATTTTTTAAATATTGTTTTGTTGTTGCTGTGCTTTTCTTTACAAAAATATTATATCTAGTAGAGTTTTGGAATAAAAAAGCTTATAGCAGCTTGTAATTTATACACTAACGCAAATTTTATAATATTGAATGCTAACAAGACCGAGTTCTTGTTCACTGGAAAAAAACAAGTTGCAAACTGCACGATAACAACCGATCACCAACAAACAAAAATGGATGATAAACTTCATCATCTAGGTTTTATATGGGATAATAAAAGCTTTTCTTTTGCCTCGCCTAATCATTCAAATATTGATAAAAGAATATCAAAATTAAGGGCAATAATTTAAATTCTTATTCTGTCTGGAATCTGCTTCGTTCATCCAAGCTCGATCGTGCAGCTATATAAAACATTGGCTGTTCCGGTACTTACGTATGGTCGCAATTATAAAGACGTACTAATGAAAAAGCTTGATATAAGAGAAATGCACTTAAGTCATTCTTCAATGTTTCCAAACACAGCAAAAATTATATTCATTCTTTGTTTTACATCCAAGTTGTATTAACAATCGTGAAGCAAAACAAGTTAAACTTATTTATTCGCATATTGAGCAATAAAACAATCTCTGGTATTGTAAATTCTCAGTTTAAAAACCATACTGCTAAGCACCATTTTCTAGATGATGTCATAGGTTTTCTAGATAATGTCATAATCTTATGCAATCGGAATGAACTCAATCTAGAGAGCTTAATGCAAAACAAAACAAAAAAGTAAAAATTATTGTGTTTACAATATAATTCCTAAAAAAGACTTTCAAAAATTAAGCTATGCAGTTGAGTTCTGGAACTCATTGGAGCAAAGAAAAATATTTAAAGATATTCATGAAGTAAATATTTCAATATAAAAACTTATTTTTTGTCAAAAATATAACCTTATGATAATTTACCTTGTATTATGTACAGTGGGTGATAAATAAATAAATATATAAATAAATTTAAATCATTTAAACAAAAAAAAATTCGTTAAAGTCATTTAAACAAAAAAAAATTCACGTTAGGAATCTTTATTGATTTGTAAAAGGCATTTGACACCGACAATCAGGAGATTTTACTGACAAAAATGGAAAATTATGGCGTTGAAAATAAAGATTTAACTTGGTTTAAAAACTAACTTAATTACAGACACCAGTGTGTTATTATAGATAAAAAAAGCAACTCGGATTTACTGAAAACAAAATGTGTTGTACCCCTAGGGTCCATTCTTGCTCCTCTTTTGTTTCTTATTTACATAAACGATCTCCCAAATGCCTCTAATATTTTCAAAACTATAATGTTTGTCGACGATACAAACTTATTTTACTCATCAAAGAATATTGAAGACTTATTTAAAAAAACAAATAATGAACTAAAAAAAATTATTATATGGTTTAAATCAAACAAACTATCACTCAATATAGATAAAACTAAATATATTCTATTCCAGTCTACTCAACAAATTAAAAAGCTTTTTAACCTACCAACAATTAATATAGAAAAAATAATTATCGAAATACAAAGTTATTAAAATTATCAAAATAATAATAAAAATATAAAAATAAAAAATAAAGTTATTAAATTATCAAAATACAAAGTTTTTAGGTGTTCTAATTGATGAACACATCTCTTGGAAGCCCCACATCAACTATATAAATACAAAAATATCAAAGAACATAGGTTTTCTTTATAAGGCAAGATCTTTCTTGACACAAAAAAAGTCTAATACTCGTTTATTTTTCATTCATACATAGCTATCTTATGTATGCCAATATAGCATGGGGCAGTACCCACAAAACTAAATTAAAACCGTTTTATCTGCGTCAAAAGCACGCTTCAAGACTAGTGTTCAACAAAAACAAACTTACTCATGCTCAACCCCTACTGGAGCAAATGAACGCTTTAAATGTTTTTCAAATTAATGTTTATCAAAATATACTTTTCATGTTTAAATGTAAACTAAGTCTGGTTCCAGAACATTTTACAGTATACTTTTTTGAAAACAATGTAAACAAATACAATACAAGAGCAACGGCAAACTTTAAGATACCCTTCGAAAAAACTAAACTCTCAAAATTTTTAGTAAAACGTCGTGGTCCCTATTTATTTAACAAAATAATTTCTAGAAACGAATCGCTGATAAATTTAAACAACAAACAGTCCCTGAAAACGAAGTTAAAATCTACAATAATTAAGTTAAACAACTACAAGGAGTTTTTTTAAACTCCATTTTAAAATTAAAAAATAAAAATAATATAAAACAACCCTAATAAAACAAAAAAAGTAACTTTTTAAAGGAAGCAATAA